AGTATTTTAATGAATAAATTTAGTCAAAGATTATTTAATTTTAAATTAATACGTTTAAAATAATGATTTATGATAAAAATTGTTATAGGCTAATGTAATGGAGTACCATTTGCGTGTATAGGATTCTTGCATAAGACTAAGAAGTTGAACTACAACTACGATCATGAATAGCCAAACTTGTAATAGGTTATTATTGTCGTTCTATTAAAAAATTAACATATACATATTAATATCTAAATTATGATTCATTACACATTTATGATTTGAGATAAATAATTTGTTAATGTTACAACATACTACTATCTACCCTTATTTATTACCAAAGATTGCAGGGGATTATAAGATAAGGAGATGCTATTACCTTTGATTGGAGATGGAACACAAATAATGGCATCATTTGTTATTCAATGATGACAATTAGTGGTAAATCATATTGGATGTCAAAAATAGATAGAATGGAGTATCAATGATGGGTGTCAATGACTACGTGTGAGATGAGTCTCAGTAAGAGTAGATGGCAAATGTTGAGTTCTGGTAATTAGAGCCTTATTTTATAATATCAATGAAAAAGTTATGCTCTTGTTTTAAAGTTGATTGAATAGCTCAGAGTTTAAGTCATAATAAAGTGATATGGCTCTATTGCTAGAGGGTCTTGGCTCCACAATAAAGATAAGAGTTTGAGCTCATTAATCATGAATGACTTCTAGTAATTAGATTTAATAATAATAATAATAATAATAATAATAATAATAATAATAATAATAATAATAATAATAATAATAATAATAATAATAGTGGTATTATGTGAAATCATAAAAGCACATGGTACAAGAAAGGTTGGGAAATAGATAACAAAAGAAAATTAAAGTTCAATAAAATAAATTGTATCAAATAATCTCAACAAAGTCTTATGCACAAGACATAGATGACCAGTCTTAGAAAAATGTTGACTTAAGTTATCTAATTAGTTTGTTGAAAGGTTAATAATGTTGTGAACACTAGTGATTGTAAGAAATTTTTTGAGGTGATGTTCAAGAGGAAGAGGTTGGCCCAAAACCTAAGGAAACGACAACCTTATAAGTGACTTTATTGATATGTGATGTAAGAGTTTATTATAGTGAAAGATCTATGGCATAGAATTACTTGGAAATGCTAAGATAATATTCTTAGAGATGTTCTAAAATGTTTGTTGAAGTTGTATTGGGGTTCGAGGCCAAAATATTGAATAGAGCCAAGACTGTATAAGTTGATCAAGTTTGGTCGCTATAACGAGTTTAAGAATAATGTATTATTGGAAGGGCATAAGGATGTATTGAAGCATTGGAATGGTTTCTAAATATCTAGAAAATATGTGTATATCATTTATTGGGTCGATGTTGAAGATTTGAGGGGTTTAAAAGGGTGATGAAGGATTTAGAATCAATAATTGGTCCCTAAAAAAAAACCTAGTTAGTTGATTGTTGTAGGAAGAGCTTATGGATTGTTTGAAGGTTGTTAAAGGTAGTAAAAAATGTTAGAAAATGTGGGAGACATAATAAAGATGTAAATATAATTGCAAAAGAAATAAAATTAGAGATCAATAATTATTTATTAGGACAACTAAGACTTTTACTGAAAAGAATCCAACGGGGAGGAGAGGGCCACCAAGCACTAATTAAGTCTAAACTCTTTCTCATTTAGTCCAACAAAATTTTTAAAATTTTGCATTAGTTCAAAACTTCACAAATTCAAAGCCCAATAGAAAGAGGAGAAATTCAAAGTTAGGAATGTAATTTATGAGTGAAATCACCCCCAATTAGTCTCCTCTCAAAAAGCAACTATCCCAAATATTTTCTATTTAAACATAATGTTAATGTAATTAAAAGAAATAAAATTTCAATATATATAATATATATATAATAAATTAAATATTGAAAACTAAAAAACTTTAAATTATTGAATTCTAAACTCTAACTTTATTATTATTTTTGAGTTTCTTATCAAAATTTATTAATAAAATTTGCATACACCCACACTATTTTTTATCATTTTACATATCTAGGCTCTAAACTTTGATTTTTATGATTTCCGTACTTTATTTATGAATGACAAAAAAAATATATTTTATTTTTTAAAGGTTAGTAATAATAATATTTTTGATATAATATAAACTATTTCATTGTTATAAAATATAAACTAAAGTTTATGTATTATTTATGTAAAAATATACAAGCTGTGGTATGATGTAAATGCCTCAATTTTTTATTGATGCAATGCCCGATAATGATGTGAAAATGACAAGTTATTTCAATTATATTTATTTAGATATACGTGCTAAAAACTCAATTTATTAAAATTAACAAACAAGCTGATGATGTGAAATAAAAAGCCCTCACCTCTAAAATATTGAATTTTTTTATTAATAATTTTAGATGTGTACATATATAATATATCAACACGAATCTCAAGATAGATGAATGGTTCAAGAGGAAGAAACGACATTAACAACCGTTTCAAGTTGGACGAGGCTAGAATGACGTTTTTCGAGCGATCAACATAAAGTGTTAGGAGATTTCCCGCAGGCCGGTGATTAGGCCTTAGGACGATCGATAAGAAGTATACTTTCAGATTAAATATCAAACGATTCAAGGCTTGGCGGTCGGTTGAAGAACTCTTATCAATCGATTCAGCCTCCTGATCTTAGTATATGTGAATAACTCCGTAATTACTAAAAAATCTCTCTGAAAAGTCAATGATGAAGAGATTAACATGTACTTTTATAATATTATGTCTTATGCCCATAAATAGGCGGTCTATAATAAGAATAAATGCTACACTCTCTTTACTACTCCCTACGGTGCTCTCTCATTCTCTACCTTTCTCTCTCTTGATGCTTTATACCTTGGGCGTGTTCTCCGTACATTCTGGAATTCAACATAATTAATGGTGCAGTGAGAGTGAAAACATGCCATCAACAAGAAGAGAGCTCATCAACAACAACTGGGAGAATCCGACCAAAGAAACACGACAAAAACAACATACAACAAAGAGTTCATAGAAGAATTCGTCAAACAAGACATACAATACTTGAGGACACATACACCAACCAGATGTCAGGATAGTTTGCAGAAGTGTTCAAGGAGGTCGATGGCCTAACGACAATCCCATTTCCAAAAGGAGGACCAACCCAACTAGAGGCACTCAAACCCCCCTCAAGAGGAACTACATGCAAACAATGAGAGAAGAATGATTCACCTACAGGAGAAGCCTGACGATGGGTTATATCAAGAGAACGCCAGATCCACCCCTGTGGAAGAGAAGAACCGACCAGTGCGGGCTGAGGTACAAAAATTGCCGGAGAATGTTTTCTCTCTACAAGTCTCGGGAGCTGAACCCCTGGAGAAGTTTAAGATGCCCGTCTTAGAATCATATAAAGGGTGATTGGATCCCAAAGACCATTCACATCGTTCAAATCATCTATATGCCTGTTAAAAATTTACGATGCCCTCAAGTGTAAGTTATTCTTCACAATGTTGAGATCAACCGCATTAAGGTGGTTCAACGGTTTGCCCGTGGGGGTAATCACTTATTTTGTGGAGTTCAAGAGACATTTTCAGTCGCAGTTTGTCAATGCCTTGAGGCCTAAAAAGACCACCAGATCCCAATGGAAATTGAAGCAAGGAGCCGACAATAGCATACAGTTGTTTATCACATGTTTCAGAGTCAAACATTGGATGTCAAGGATCTGAAACCAATATGACCCAAGCTGCACTAACACAGAGAGTGAGGTCGAAAAGATTTCGTTTCAACCTTGAACTTGCAGAACCACAGAGCTTGGTCAAAGTGTTAAAGATGACCAACATGTATATCATCTCCTATTATAAAGACCGAGAACCCGTCGAATAGAGACACCATAAGCGACCACCACAAGACAATAGAAAGCAACCTGAAAAAAACACACAACTGACCATCCACTCACGCTACGAGAATCATTATGGTGACAACCACATCCATCATCACGAAGATCGAAAGAGGTAAGTGAATGCACCACACCACCAAAATTTCCCAGCATCATGAATACTGAGGCAATCATCCCTTGAGAAACACCAGTAAGGGTGTCGATGGCAGAAATAGTGGATGTCATTCAGGATAAAGAATACTTCCGAAAGGCAACCCCGATTAGAGCTGCACTTTTCTTTAAGATAACAGGAAGTATTGTTAAAAAAAATACTCTTATCCTCATGTGTCGTGTAGCTTTCAAGGAACATGAGAATCGAGAAACTAAATATGTACGTATAAAATATGTGAGCATGAATCTCAAGAAAGATGAACAACTCAAGAGGAAGAAACGAACGATCGAAAGTAGCTTTTGACAGCCATTTCATGCTGGACGCTGTTAGAGAGGCGTTTTGTTTGCGGGATCAATAGAACATATCAGGAGATTTCCCGCAGGGTGGCGATCAACCATTAGCACGATCGATAGGAAGCATTCTTTCAGATTAAATATCGATCAGACGGTCAACAAACTCTTATTAATTGATTTAGCCTCCCAATCTTATTATATGCGAATAACTCTGTAATCATTAAAAAATCCCTATGAAAAATCAATGATGAGGGGGTTAACATATACTTTTATAATGCTAGAACCTTTACCTATAAACAGGGTATATAATAAGCATAAATGCTACATTCTTTATTACTCCCTACGGTATCCTCTCATCATCTACTTTTGTCTCTCAATGCTCTATATCTTGAGCGTGTTTCCCACACACTTTGAGATTCAACAAGATGCATATAAAGCTAAAAACAAATTTTCATTACATATCACAAAACAAAACAAAAAAAATTGTAAATAAATAACCCATTCCATATCAGTGCTTACGAAGTATTTTGGTAATTCTATTTAACTATTTGCGGGGATAAGACTGTCATTTCCAATAAATACAAAAAAAAAAAAAAAAACTTTAGATATTCTATATGAGGGATATTTCTGTAATTTTAACATTACAGACTAAAAATTTTTCATTTTCGGGGATTCCTATTCGCTCTGCAACTACAAATGTCTCCTTTTCTTGGTTCACTGTCTCCCTCCACTCTCTCTCTACCCTCGCCGGCGGTTTAGGGTGGTGCAGGAATTCATCGCTCCGTTAATCGGATGCTCCTTCTCTGGTGCCGATGAAGGTAATCGACGTCGACGGCGTGCCGCAGTTTAAGTTTTCGTTTTCGCTGCCTTCGAGGTAATCTTTTGATCCTATTGACTTCATTTCTTCTTTTCTTTCTACCCATCTCCTCCTGCCTCTCTTTTATGGGGAGATATCACGAAATCCAATAGGTTTTCCGTTGATAGTTGAGATTAAATAAGGATAGTGGATCTTACTATCCTTAGATATTGTCTTACCTTTTCTGGAAGATTGGTGGGTGGAGAAGGTGGGTTGGGTTGAGTTGGGTAAGTGGAAATGATTTCAAAATAGGATTAGAAATGCTGTTGTTGATCCCTAGATATGAGCTATCAATTAGGTCTCTCCCACTTTGGAAGCCGATTTATTGAAGTGAATGAGCAATTAGAAAAACCGAGAATACTTCGTTTATTAGTCTATATTAACTTTTCCTCAGGAGATGCCTACAGTGGCGCTTCAAGCCATGCTGGTTTCTGATTGTGATGTATTTGGTGCTTTGCTTTCCGTTTGCGGTGAAGAGCCGTTTGTGCCTGGATGACGTTCATGTATCGCGACACTCTGATTTGGGAAGTTCAGTCCATGGTCGACAGAGTTTTGGGGGTTATTATGAACCTGGGAATGTTTGTTCTTTCTCTAGTTCTTTCTGCTTTCAGTCAACTTTGGACGGTTATATAGCTCAAGAGGATGACTGGCGAGTGCCCTCCGTCGAAGCCGCAAAGGGCTTTGATCAGACATCCAAGAGCGCAGTTTTCAAGATGAATAATGGAGAGATTGTTTCTTGCTTTTTAAGGAATTCTGGAAGCGGAATCCCTCTTCTGCAAGGTTTTGGAAATAGCAGTGTTAGTGCGGATAGAGTGGACTTCTGTGAGGGTTCCCTTTTTCCTGATCTTTGGATGAAGGCTTCTAGTGCGCCAAACAGTGACCTTGATGAGCATCTAGATGAGGCGGAGCCAGGAATTTTTATAAGTTCCACATTCTTTCCTGAAATAGAGATACGCCCACCAATTTTGGATTGGGGGGCCAAAAACATATACTCTCCTTCCCTGGAAATTCTAGAAGTTGTCAACAAGCATAATGAGAGTGTTTTAGATGTCTACGATCTGTTTAGCTCTAACACACAGTTCAATGCATACAGTTTCCAGACACTCTCACTGTCACCAGGAGAATCTGCATCAATTCCTCTCATTTTCTTACCTAGATGGTTGGGTTTTTCTTCAGCTCAACTAGTTTTGCAAACCAGCTTTGGGGGTTTTGTCATTCATGCTAAAGGAGAAGCTACAGTGTCCCCCTACCATTTGCAACCTTTAGTGGGATTTAACATTTATACTGGTAAGAAGTTGAGCGGAAACTTGTCACTTTATAATCCTTATAATGACTTGCTTTATGTCAAAGAAGTAGCCGCATGGATTCCAATCTCTGGTTCAAAGAAAACTAACTCAGCACATGTTTTCTGTAGCGCAAATAGATTTCAGCAATATGACATTCAATCAGCTTCTAATACTGACAGTGAGTGGTTCAGTCTGAGAAGTGGCGAATTGGGATCATCAAGGATGGATATTAGGCCTCATCAGTACTGGGAGGTGCCACCGAATAGCTCTGGAGTTATTTTTGAACTGAATTTGTGGCCTCATTTGGGCCATAAAATTTCTGGAGCTATCTGCTTGAAGTTAGGTAATTCTTCTCATAGAAGTTTTGAGACAGCAATACTTCCTATTGACATAGAAGTGCGTGAAAAAGAGAGTTACACTGACTCAAGTGGTTCTGTTTCATTATACTTCGACGCTTTGATTCCATGTCATGGAAGGAAAACAGTCTATGCCATCTCCTTAAGAAATGATGCATCATATTTGCTACATGTTGTAAAGATCAGTGAAGAAACAAAATCTTGTAATATTTTTGAGATAAGATACATGGAAGGTCTATTACTTTTTCCTGGGATGGTTACACAGATAGCCTTGGTAACTTATACTCATCCCCTTAATTCACAGGATGGAGGAGCTGAAAACCATAGTTCAGGTTTGAATTGCATGCTTTCTGTAAGGACAAATGATTCTGTCAACCCTGAGATGAGTATTCCTTGCCAAGATCTAGTCCTTAGCTCTTGTAAATATCAGCATGGTTTTCAATCAGAGGGTTCATATGTCAAATTGATCTCCAAACATGAGGATGAGAAATGTGCGAGTACCATTGCTGAATCTCTTGGAAATGCTCATGAAGAATCATCACAATTCCAGGTATTAAATGTTAATATTTATTCTATGATGCCGATTCTATCTCTTTTAGGCTTTTTGATTTGAAATGGAGGTTGCTTCGTCTATGCAATATTATGTATTGTTATTTAGGATTTTTTCTCTATATTTCTAGGGTTTTCTACTCATAAATCCAAATTCCAAAGCTCACCAACCCCCATTTGTCATGGGCTGAATAGAGTCCTTACTTCATAAAGGGATTCAAACTTGTCATTTATAATACAGGACAAAGGAAAATAGTGCTTGGTTAAATTAACAATCTTTATTGTTATTCCCTTACATAATCATAGCTTGAAAACATATTGCAATGATCGTGTTATGGATTTCTTAATATTTTACACTGAAATGTGAATAAATACTAAACTAAATGATCAACAAATTATTTTCTTCACCTTATTTGGATTATTCATATTCATATTGATTTATCCTACTTTATTCTCTTCGTGCCTTCTTCTTATCTTGTGCTATTTTCCTTGTACTTATAATTTCTATGTATATCTCAAGAAATGTGATATCAAAAAGCCTTCCAACACCGAAACCAGCCGCAGTTCATAGTTAAATGCCAATGCTCTCTCTTATTTATTTATTTTTTGAAATGTATGGTCTTGTAGGTATTTTGTCATGTCTAGACTAATTGTAGAAGGTGGTTGTGCGACTAATTGCATATTCCTTCTAAATTTGTTGCATGATGATTCTTTAGATTAAATGCTTTTGACAGGTTATTATTTATTAAAGTAGAAATGAGATTTTACGAGAAGCAAGTAAGATAGGAAATGTTCGTTTTGCACCACGTATTGTTCAACTTATGTTTATTTATAGATATAATGTGAAAGGAGACGAGTTTTGGGAAAGGGTATATATAAATGACATCATATACTGATCCAAGAAGAATATGCATTCTTCTAAACCTGTTTTTAAAAATGCATTATTGGGTCGCGCCCCGGGGTGAGGCCTAAGACATTTCGTCCCAATTCCATGTGGGGGTGCAAATCTCATGTGGCAAACTCTTTCTAAGCAACGGATGTTAGTCGCGCCTCACGTGGCGTACGCTCCACTTAATAATCGAATAAAAAGGATAAAAAATCCCTAATTTTTCAAACCTACCCGATCCATGCTTATTCAATCGTCTTCCGCACGCAGACGATCTCCTCTAGCACTCTCCTTCCTCCTTCGCACGCAAAGTGCATCAAACGCATAGTTGCGGACGATTTTGCAGCGGTCTGCGTGGCTGTTTGGGTGTCTTCTGCTTTGTTCCTAACAAGCAGGTGATCTTGCAGCAGGCTGTGCCGCCGTCTATCTTGTTCTCACATGTAGATGAACCTTGCCTGCTTCATCCTGCACGCATGCGATCCGTCGGCTTCTTTTTTGGCAGGCAAAAACACCGAACCTGCAACATTTGCTTCTCTCCCACGGGCTGATTGATTCGATAAGTAATTAGAAATGCAACTTTTATTATTCTATAAGTTATCACTAGGTCTTTGATTATAGCTACAGAGAATTACACTGTAGCTACAGTAATTGCACTGCAGCTACAGTGAACCACAAATTTGATTTTTTACTTCTTTTAATAATTTTTTTTATTAAGCACAAATAAGTTATCTTTTTGTTTTTTAATATTTATATTTTCTATTTTTTTATACTGTGGAGCTTACGCCTCGCTCCGTAACAACCAAAACACTCTGCCCAACGCCCACACATTTTAAAATAATGATCTGAACTTATCTGATTACTAGGTTGCTTCATTGTCCTCTAACAGAACAATGACCACCTTGAATAAGGTATTATCTGTTGATCCTGACAACTAGGTTGAAGGAATCTCGGAAAAAAAAGGTATTTTCCATTCTTTTGGGATGCTTGTAGGAAATTCAAGCCCAGATGGCTATTTAGGTTTCAATTATGTATGTCTACTTCTTTTACACACAATTTAGGTTGCTGATTATCCCTGACAAACAAGGTACTCTTCCAATCTATGTTGCTGCCTTTATATCAGTGGAAGGGTTTTCTTTTGTTATCTATCAGCAAAATACTAGCCATTTCATCCCAAGCGATGCTGAGAAAATTAACAAAAGCATAAATTTTGTTGGAATTTTGATACACAACAACAACAAGCCTTTATCCCACTAAGTGGGGTCGGCTACATAAATCCTTTATCTCCATTGTGTCGTATTAAGTGTCATATTTTTATTTAATTCTAATAAATTAAGATTATTTTCTATACGATATGCTCAAGCCTTTTTAGGTCCACCTTTACCTTTCTTAACATAAGTCAAACCTAAAACATTTACTCACCTAACTGGATCAATTGATGGTCGATGTTTAATGTGACCAAACCATCTAAGACGACTCTCTCTAACCTTTTCTGTCCTTGGAGCCACGCCAACCCTTTCATACATAGATTTGCTTCGCATTTGTCTTTTAGTGTCAATCCACTCATCCACTTAAGCAATCTCATCTCAGCAACACTTAACTTTGTTTTATGCTTCTCTTTTAAAGGCCAACATTCTGTGCCATGAAGCATTGCTGGTTTAACAATTATCTTATAAATTTTTTTGATAAATCTAAGCAGTACTTTTCTACCAAAGAATAGGCATGATGCATTCCTCCACTTCAACCATTCCTCCACTTCAACCAACCAACTTCAACCAACCAACTGAATTCTACTAATAACATCCCCATTTATATCATCATCACTCTTAATAATAGACCTGTGGTATCTAAAATACTCACAAATTGTAATGATTTGAGCACCTATAGTTACAACTCTGCCACTAGATCTACTACAACTAAAATTACATTCCATGCATTCTGTTTTAGATCTATTCAAGTGAAAGCCTATAAACTCCAATGTAGAATTGCATAATTTAAGTTTTCCTGAACTTTTTCTCTAGTCTTATCCACAAGAAGAATATCATCAACGAAAAGTATACACTGAGATACATCTCCTTGTAAATGTCCGCCAAGAGCATCCATAACTAAAGCAAAAAAGATATGGGTTTAAAGCTGATTATTGATGCAATACAACTAAAATAAGAAAGTACTTGGTCAATCCTCTTCTGCTTGAACTCAAGTAACACCTCTAATATACATATCTTTAATTATTTGAATATAAACTATATCAATACCTTTCTTTTTTAGAACTCCCCGAAGTACTTCTCTTGGAACCTTATCGTAAGCTTTGATAACTTGATTCTTTTTAGAAAAGAAAATTTCTCTATGGAGCAGCTGTTTTAGGGAGGAGGGGTCTGGGTTGTAAAGAGAAAAATATTAGAAGAATAAATATCTTGAAAGAAGAGTGGTTCGGGGTAGAGGTGACAAGGCATTAATACTCCGTGATTTGGATATGGAGAAAGAGAAAAGTGGCAAAGAAAATGCTACTTCTTAATTCATCAATCAGCAATCTGACTACACCCTTAGCCTACTTATATGATAATAATTATGATCTTATATACAATCTAATACAGTGAAATGTGATAGTGATAGTCATACTTAAAATAACAAATTATCAATTTATCTTCAATAACTACAAATTGTTAAATAAAAACAAATTACAGTGCCGTAGTGCAAAACATTAATAAATAATACTGAAGACTAACCATCATAAATGAGAGACTAAATGTTACTGAAGATGGTCTATTTGAATAGATATCTTTCATTGCATCAATTCATATTCGTTTTAAAGGATTTTGATTCAGATTGTTGAAATTCTATTAGAGGAAAAGCGAGAGACACTGCACTATATTTCCAAGCTAACAAAATCCATTTCATGAGAAATCCATTCTGAAGATGAGAGATCATTAGTAAATTTATCTTAATGAAGAGATGATTAATGTTGAAATCCAGCTTAAAAGACATGGGGAAAAATATCACCACTAGAAACTATTTTAATTACACACCTTCATCATCAATTCTTCGGAGGAGTATCATTTGATCTAGAAAAATAACTTTGGAAGCATAGAGGTCTTTGTGGTAGCAACCTAAAGGCTTTTGTTCGTGGTCATAGACTACTATGATGTTCTTATTTTGATGAAGAGATTGGAAGTAAATGTTTGTTTCTTTAATTACGCTTGTTACTGTGATCGGTTACGACAATTATGTTTGAAGAAGCTTAGAAAAAAAATTGTTGGAAAAAGTTGGAGTAGATCAATATGAAAGGTTGAATTCAAATTTTACATTTAGTTCTTTTAAATTGAATTTTGAATTCAAATTTTATTTTGAAATTCAATAAATGTCTCAAAGGAAGAGTGGTTGGGGGGTAGAGGGGGGTAGAGGGGGGTAGAGGTGAAAAAGCATTAAGATGCTATGTGAAGGAGAGCCAACAAAGAGAAAAATTGGCAAAGTAAATGCTACTTCTTAATTCATTAATCAGCCATTATAACTACACCCTTAGTCTAATAATATAATAATAACTATGATCATTTGTAAAATTTAATCTAGTAAAAATGTAATAGTGATAGGCATGATAAAAAAGTTAAATGATTAATTTATCTCTAATAGTTGAAAATGTTAAATAGAAAGAAATTACATTACCATAACTCAAATTATGAATACATACTACTGAAGACTCTGACCATCTTAAATGAGAGATTAAGGGTCTGTTTGGGGCAGTTGTAACTGTTTGAAGAAGCAGTCGTGAAACTACTGCAGAAGAAGTGTATTCAAAAACTGCGGTGACTATTACAATAATATTTTAATTTAAAAAAGTTTGACCATAACTTTCTGGCAACCACCACACTTTTATAAGTTAGGTTGAAAAAAACAGTTTTCTTCCACAGAAATTTGTTGAAAGCAACAATAAAGCCGTTTCCTAAACAGAGCTGCGGTGGCGGTTTGAAAAGCAAAACAACTACAAAGTTGTCCCAAACAGATCCTAATTGTTTAAAGATGATTTATTTAAATAAGTATTTCACATTGCATCAATTCCTGTAGGTTGTAAAGAATCCAGCTTTAGATAGTCGAAATGCAACTAGAGTAAGAATTGGAGGCCC